TCGTCAGTAAATAATACTGTCTCACTGTGTGACATATCTAATAAACAAATTAATATGGAATTACATACTACTACAGTACCCGAGTTTTACACATAATATTAATATGCTTGTCTAATATGAACATCTATTTGTTTAATCATCCTGTTTTTCGTTATTCGTGTTATCACAGATCACCTCACATTTTCATCTGATAGAACCATTATTATTGTTATTACTATTAATATTATGACTAATATGAAATTAACTAAGGAACTTAACATAGTTTCCCTTCCATATTCCGCTAATCATCCAAATTCATAAAAAAGGGAGTAAATGTTTGTAGAATTAACTTGACCCACTATAGTGCCCACTAACCTAGGCTTTACAGATATAGAAACGCAGTGGAATAGGGTTAAACAAGCTGAGATTCTGATGAGAACACTGATGGAACATACTTTTCGAGAAGTGCTGAAATACACACGAACCTGGATTTCACCTTCGCCACATGATTTGATCTCAGGTCAGTCTTTATCTCCGTTAGTCGAAAGAGACAGCTGTCTTATTATGAATGGTGTAGACTGAGGCTCTCTGCTTAAATTCATCATCAACATAAGAGCCTATGGAAAGTGATCCTATGAAGTGACGGTAATGAATAAGGTTAACTTAAGACTACTCATACATATTATGGATTTTGATTTTGTGTGGAAATCTAACGGGCTACTTGAGAAATAACTGAACTAAATAGTGCAGATGAAAATTCCAATAAAATGTAGAGTACTCTGGGAGTTCTGAGCATGAGGTCCGCATATGTGAAGCGAGCGATAATAATGTAGGACTGGTTTACACAGGGTACTAATCTAGGTATAGGGAATGAAGTAGCTGAATGTAGTGACTCCATTACTGTATAAGTCTCACCACAATTACATACCACTGGTGGCTGACGAAATCTCACCATTTTCCAAACTGCACCAGTTTTGCATCCAGTTGTCGACCAACGACCACATGTAGGCAGTCACTGACTACGGTCCTCAGGGTGTTAGGAACCAATTCTTATTTGAGAAAGTTCGACTACACAGTATGCATTTTTTAATTATGTGTCAGAATACGATTCATGTTTATTCGAGAACGGTTGATGATACTTTTCAGGCTCAAGTAAATGGAGAGAGAGACTACAACAGGAGACCCGTTAACTGGAAGAGAAGTGATAAAGCCAATCGGGTGGCACGATAAAACTGTTCGACATGGCTTCAAATCGTAAACGCTGCTACGCATGCGTTCACCACTTATGATGTTCCGAAATCTGAAAAGCATTACCAAGTTATATCCTCTAAATATTCCTGTCCATTCTAGTACCAGTATATTCCTTTCCTCTACTTTTACATATACTATTTTGATGTGCATCAACTTGTACCGATTCACATCTGCAGAATCTCACATTCACTCACCGTGCACCGTTTGGGGCTTCTAATTAATGGTTGGTTAATCTGCCACCATTAAGTTAAGTCTGTTCAACTCAAAAGACCAGTCGACTGAGTTTCAGCATAGAACTATGCACATAAGTGCACTAATTCAAGTTGCACACTCTACTTAGAACCCAAAGGTAGAGGAAGGAAAGGAGTTCAAAAATACTATAATGAGCAAAACTGCACAACAGAAAGAATGGTAACATCCCAAAACATGAGGACTTAACGCATCTCGAGAATTACAAGGAGTTATTACATCTGCGCCATTGACAACGACTTTAAGTCATATCATCAACAGTTTCCAGTCATTGGTACTTAGCATCTCAAGGATCTCAACCTGGTAATCTACACTTCCCTACAAGTCTGGTTTCAATCAACGTAGCTAGCTCAAACCAGCTGTCAAATACTTTATGAACTAATGTTGGGCTTTGAAATGACCACTCCTCATTCTTTCCCAGACTAATCCTATATCAGTTGAAATTGCTCGTCGGGGGAAGGTGATGGCCCGTCGTGCGTGACGTGTCCTAGCCATGTCAACCGAGGTAGCTTAGTAACCTCACAGATTGACTTCCCCCCTTCTCACCTAACACTACGCCTAACCCCAAAATTGCTCACCACATTACACCATGTAACACAGCAGACAGGACGTAAATATCTGTAGTCGAAACAAGGCCAACATTTTAATTTCTTTAATTTGCAATGGCCATGTCTTACAGTCATAACAAAATGAGAATTTATTCGTGGTTGCGCTATGTCGTCAATTGGCAGAAGTTAGAATTCAAGGACCATTGGATCGGGTCCCAGTGGCTCAATGATCTACGAGCTCGCCTTGTAACCAGAAGGTCCTGGGTTCAACTCCCGGTGATTGCCTACTGATGAAGAGTCCCAAACTAGGACGAAACAGCTGTCCTGTACTCCAAGGTTTCCCAGTGGTTCTCCAACTGATGTCAGCTCATGATTAAATTCTCCATACAATCAAACAAAATCCCTACAAAGAGTCAACCCGAACATGAAGTGTACTTCGAACTCAGGAATCGATGTAACATACGAGTCCGGAGTGATAGAAGGACATTTCAGAGAAACCTCGCCAATAAGCTTCTCGTGAACCCCAAAAGCCTATACAGGTTTATGTCTGAAAGAAAACCGACCAACCAGGGAGCTTGCAATCTAGTGGGTTCTGATGGGAAATCTCCTACTAGTCTTGACATGGCAGATACATTCAGTCTAGCCTTCCACAGGCAACTGAACAGTAACGAGGATTTTACCCCCACAAAACATCAAGATTACAATGCAAAACCAACGTGCGAAAACCTGCTGGGTACATTTCAAATTACCCCGGCTATGGTACTCGTAAAATTGGGAAAGTTGTCTTCGGGAAAGTCTGGAGGTTGCGATGCCATAAGACCATCCGTCCTGAAGCAGTGTTCAGAAAGTCTCTGCCAACCCCCAAGTGATCTGTTTCAACACTCCTTTGATGTAGGGAAACTTCCATGTGAATGGAAACGAGCCATCCTATCCCCTATCTTCAAGGGTGGTGACCGGCAGAACGCGACCAGTTACAGACCAGTTGCGCTTCTCTCAGTGATATCGAAGATATTGGAAAGTCTCATTGACGACCACATGAGAAAATACTTCGACAGGACTAACCTACTCCATGAAGCACAGCACGGTTTCAGGAGGGGAAGATCCTGTGTGACGAATCTTCTACTAGCTTGGAACGATTGGACACCATCCTGGGATGTAAAGGTACCAGTCCATGTGATCTTTCTCGACTTTGCGAAAGCATTCGACACAGTTCACCATGGTCTGCTCCTTCACAAAATAAGCAAAGCGGGTGTTTCTGGAGCACTTCTCGCATGGCTGAAAGATTACTTAGGCGAGAGAGAATTCTGCACCAAAGTCAACCGCATCCGATCATCCTGGCATACCTCGGGATCAGGGGTTCCTCAGGGTTCTATCTTAGGGTCGTTGATGTTTTTGATTTTTATCAATGACCTGCCCTGTCAACTGAGCTGCTCTGCGCTTCTTCACGCTGACGACGTAAAGATTTGGAGAGCAATAAACTCACCGGAAGACTCTGACAGATTGCAGGCTGACCTGCAAACTCTGGGAGACTGGGCTCTGGCTAACGGAATGCCTTTCAACCTAAAGAAGTGCAAAGTAGTGCAACTTCATTCCGGCAGGTCACAGAGTGCAAATTACACCCTTGGTGGCCAGAACTTGAGTTGTGTGCCATCAGAACGCGATCTAGGCCTTATTTTAACAGAAAAGCTAGACACCAGTGTAAATTACACGAGGGACGTCGCCAAAGCTTACGCTACTTTACACTTTATGCATAGGCAGCTGGGAGCTCTTACTCCTGAACTATTCTTAACGTTGTATACGACATACGTGAGGCCACTCCTTGAGGTGCATAATATCATTGCTCCTCCGCTACTCAAAAGGGATGCTAACATTCTAGGAAGTGTCCAGAGACGAGCGACAAAATGGGTGATCGGCCTCCGCAACAAATCATATGAGGAAAGACTGAAGAAATTAAGTCTTTTCACAATTAGTTACCGTAGTCACAAGGGAGACCTCATCACCGTCTATAAGATCTTAAATGACCAGGCCCACCCTAATAAAAGCATCCTGCCATTAAGTGATTATAGGCTTCCACGAGGTAACCCGCTAAGGATAGCACACCAGAGACAAAAGACTCGAGTGCGTTCACATTTCTTCTCGCTTCGAGTTTGCCGTCTCTGGAACGCTTTACCGGCGGCCGTAACTACAGCGCCATCTGTGAAGACTTTTAAGCGGAAGCTGGACAATCATGCAGAAGGTTTGTGTCTCAATTACTTATCCGCTTAAAATTTAAAACCACACTGTCAATGGATAAGCATACAAACTAAATCCTCACGACCCGTCCTGTCTTCGCCTACTGTACCGACTACTCTATCTTTTCCTTAGGTCACCTTTATTTTTTCACTTATCTCAACCCATATTATCTACACTACAACCTATTATTATTACTATTCTGCTTTTATGACTACACCGAATGACCGACGGGAGTTAGGTCAAACTCCACTCGCGGCAGCAGCTGAGTCCTAACATACTGCACACTACAAACCACAATCTTGACCAATCCTCGCACCGCTCCTCTTGGAGTCTACCAGAGCTAAAGCAGTCGAGTGGCGGGATTTACTACGCATAAGTTCACCGAAGATCTGGAACCTCTACCTTACAATCAAGAAGCGAGCTCAAAGAAATCACTGGTTTATACTAGCTCGTTATCAGGATATAGGATATTGAATACTTCAGAATTTATTCGGTCAAGAATTTATTTTACACAACCAATTTTTACCATCATCAGCTACACTGAGGAACACAATACATATTAGAAAATTTCGAAGTAAGCGGCACCAGATGAATATGCCATAAGTGTTGTATGTTCCAGGTTAAACGCTCTTGAGAGAAAAAGATTGAAACTGAATCAATTTTATTTTCATGAAATATTACATCTCAACACTTTGCCCAACATATTCCAATATCCAATATCGTTTTTACGAGCTAGTATAAACCAATTTGATTTCTTTGTGCTCGCCTCTTGATTGTGAGATAGAGGTTCCTGATCTTCGGTAAACGTCTGTGTAGCTCGTCCCGCCACTCGACTTTCGTAACTTTGGTTGACTCCAACAGGAGTAGTGCTGGGGTTAATTATATGGGATTTGTAGTATGAAGTGTGTTAAGACTGTTACTACTGTGAATGGAGTTGATCCTTTCACCAGTTAGTCCTTCGGTACCGTCGTCAATGGAAAAGAGATAATAATCATAATAATAATAATAGATATAATTAGTAAAGGTATTAGTGAAATATTGACCAAATTATCCTTTGTAACATTAATTACACTTGAAAGCTTTGCAGTTTGACGACAATATAGCGTTGTGGGGAAAGGTGTAACTCAATACAACTGACCCTCCTCCAGGGTATATTTGAGATTAACGCAGATCATAATTACAATCATATTCGCGGAACTCCTAGATTCAAGTTATATGAAATTCTCTTGTTTTTGAGAAACTATACGATTAAACCTCCGAATCAAGATCTTCTTTAGCAAGAGAACGTATGACGCCATCATCCTGGTACATATCCGCATACTCCTTTCTCACTGTCTTGATGTTTTTTAAAAGATCTGGGCTGGTGAAAAAGTCTGAAAATGTATATTTTTAATCCACTTACCAGCGAAGTATTCCCGGGCATTTTCAGGCTGTTTAATCCATTTATCCCTGCAAAATACAACAAACATTTATATTCCATACCTTAAAAATGCTGTCACCATATACTTCACTTCCGGATGTTGCTGCAAGTACTGTTCATTACTTAGCCGTGTTTGAGTCTAACAAGTTAGAAAGTTTGTCTGTGTAAACCTTGAGTTTATTTGTCGCCCTTTGTTGGGCATTACTGAGAGCACCCAGATCTCCATTTCTTCCGAGATCGTAAGGTTCCATTGAGGCTGATGGATCATGTTTAGGAGGGGTAGATCCCAAACCGTACATCCAATCCAATCCAATATCTTTTTACGAGCTAGTATAAACCAATTTGATTTCTTTGCGCTCGCCTCTTGATTGTAAGGTAGAGGTTCCTGATCTTTGGTAAACGTCTGTGTAGCTCGTCCCGCCACTCGACTGTCGTAGCTTTGGTTGACTCCAACAGGAGTAGTGCTGGGATTAATTATATGGCGTCTGTAGTATGAAGTGTGTTAAGACTGTTACTACTGTGAATGGAGTTGATCCTTTCACCAGTTAGTCTTTCGGTATCGTCGTCAATGGAAAAGAGATAATAATAATAATAATAATAATAATAGATATAATTAGTAAAGGTATTCAGACTAACAGACAGAGAAAAAAAAAATAAGAAAACGTAACAACAGTCAGTCAACCGGTATACATATATATATATATATATATATAATATATACCAGTAATAATGATAATAATAATAATAATAATAATAATAATAAGTGTAGTTAAAGCTGTCAGGAGAGTAAGACTGAAGGGAATGTGAAGAAGTAAAACGACCAGTTTAATTGTCTATCTTTGAATGGTATATGCGATTTTAAGGGGATAGGCCATTTGGATACAGTCCTTGTGTCACTGCAAGGTTGTCCAGCCTTCGCTTAAAGGCGTCCACAGATGGTGCCATAGCTACATCTGCCGGTAAGGAATTCCAGGGACGGCAAACCCGCAGGGAAAAGAAGTGGGAGCGCACCCGGGTCCTTGCCCTCTGATGAGCTATCCTTCTGGGATTTCCACGAGGGAGCCTATACCTACTCAATGGCAGAACACCTTTGTTCGGGTGATTCTGATCATTTGTTATTTTGTAGGCAGTGATTAAATCCCCCCTCAGGCGACGGTAACTGAGTGTGAATAGGCCTAATTTCTTCAGCCTTTCGTCATATGGTTTATTTCGGAGTCCAACCACTCCTTTTGTTGCCCGTCGTTGGGCTCTTTCCAAGAGGTTGGCGTCTCTTTTAAGCAGTGGGGGTGCAATGATATTATGCACTTCAAGATGCGGTCTGACGTATGTTTTATACAACCTTAGAAAGAGCTCAGGAGTGAGTGCACCTAATTGTCTATGTGTAAAGTGTATGACCGCATATGCCCTCGCTACATCCCCCGTGTAATTCACGCTTGTGTCCATTTTCTCCGTCAGAACTAGACCTAAGTCACGTTCCGACGTTGAGCAGGACAAGCTTTCATTGCACAGGGTGTAACTTGCATTCTGCAGTCTACAGGTGCGTAACTTCACTACTTTGCACTTTTTCAGGTTGAAAGTCATTCCACTGGTTACCGCCCAGTCTTCCAGAAGCCTTAGATCTGCCTGCAGCCTATCTGAGTCCTCCGGACACTTTACCGCCCTCCATATCTTTACGTCATCAGCGTATAGAAGAGTCGGGCAGTTTAGACGGCATGGTAAATCATTGATAAAAATCAAGAACATCAGTGGTCCCAGGATAGAACCCTGCGACACTCCTGATGACGAGCTGTGCCAAGATGATCGGACTCGGTTGACCTTGGTGCAAAATTGCCTTTCAGTTAGGTAGTCCTTCAACCATGACAGAAGTGGTTTACCTAGACCTACCTGGCTTATTTTGTGTAGGAGAAGGTCATGGTGAACAGTGTCAAATGCCTTCTCAAAGTCTAGAAAGATCACATGGACAGGAACATTCATATCCCAGCATGATGTCCAATCGTCCCAAGCTGATAATAAGTTAGTGACGCAGGATCTTCCTTTCCTGAAACCATGTTGGGCTTCATGGAGTATTTTAGACCTATCCAGATATTCCCTGATGTGATCATCAATAATACTTTCCAGTACTTTCGATACCACTGGGAGTAGAGCTACTGGTCTATAACTGGTGGGATTTTGCCTATCCCCACCCTTGAAGATCGGAGAAAGGATGCTTCTTTTCCATTCCTTTGGCAGTTTCCCCGATTCCATGGAGTGTTGGAACAAGTCGCATAAAGGCCTACAGAGAGCTTCGGCGCACTGTTTCAGGACAGATGGCCTGATGTCATCACAACCTGGGGACTTCCCAGGTATAAGTCGCTGCAGCTTTCTCAATACTATTGCAGGGTTTATTTGAGGGGTGGCTATTTGGTCTTCCTCCTGTGAAATAGTCATGCCACCATTTTGGTTCGTAACGGTAATACCCACATTGCTGTTTAGCTGTTTGGCGAAGGCTAAACTGAATGTTTCAGCCATCTCCAGACTAGTGAGATATTGACCGTTTTGGCCTACTAAGGCGCAAGCCCCTTGGTTGGTTGGTTTCCTTTCCGACATGAATTGGTACAAATTCTTCGGGTTTGCCAGGAGTTTTTTAGCAAGGTTAGCCTGGAATGACCTTCTGTCCCTCCTGACTCTTGCATTGCACCGGTTCCTGAGTTCCAGGTATGCATCATGGTCGATCTGGCTTCCAGATACGCGCCACGATGA